CTCTCTCTCTCTCTCTCTCTCTCGAACCCCGCTCAAAACGCCAACTATTTCTTCTGTCCCATGCACCGTGTCTTATTTCGTGTACTGCGACGCGATGCGATACACAGGAGGTTGTACGAGAGGTTTTTTCGCACCTGGACCGACATGAGGTTGGCTATGTCAACCGAGAACAGGTGAGAAAAGGAAACGAAAAATGTGCAGCCTCAAACACAAAGTTGTGGGTGACTCCTTGAGATTTGTAGATCCATGACGGTGGTTGTCCCACGTGCTTGTTAAGGTACCGCTCATGATGTTCAGTCGCAGTGTGCTCTCACACGTTGGCGCTGTTGCGAACCAGCGTTTGATATGTCCTGATCTGACGACCACACGGTTTGATTTTCAAACGATCGGGCTTTCTGACTATCTTGCCACACGATTTGGTTTTTTCCCATGATTTCACTCATATCATGCAACAAGATCTGGTTCTCACGATGCAGTCGATTCGCACACACTAGAAGTCCAGCACACCACCCCCGTGCCCCTGCCATCACCAGGTCCAGACGGGGCTGCAGACACTGGAGCTCCCTTCGAAGGCGGATCACGTGGAGGGTCTCTTCACGGTGTTCGACAAGAACAGGGACGGCGTCATTCACTTCGCGGAGTTCGAAGAGCTCGCTCTTCACCGAAGGCACGCAGCACACTTCCCACGAACTGACGGCGAACACGCCTTCTCAACCCTAGTTTTTTGCTGTGCGTGTCTCATGAAGTTATGTTGTACGTGTCCCATGTAGATGTTTTTTGGTGTGTTTCATGGTCGGTTCATTCGAAGCTGTGGGTCTCCCGTGGTCGTTTCGTTAGCATCGACGGCACGAAACCCGTTGGAGCCGTGGAGAGACGCCAGCCTTCCGCGGGACACTTCCGGGAAAGTGGCCTTGCCCGCGTTTCTTTTTGTTCGCGTCAGCTGCACTTTGCGGCTGACCAACAAGACGCCGCTCAGTCTCAGTGCGGACAACTGCGAAACCCGTTTTATTTCGGTTCACGCCCCGCCCCCCCCTAGGGCGGCAGCAGAGGAGACTAGACCTAAGTTCCCAGCCTCTGGACGCAAGCCCTTGTATAAAAGTCAATGGGAGTATAAAAAGTATACATATATATATAATGACGTCACGTCGTGCATACCCCGGGCGACAACAATTGATCGAGTGTGTACACAGTGGTGTTGGTATTGGTTTTGTGGGAAGCAATCAACCCAGTCAGGCTGCGTACTGCGTGCCGCCACCACCACTACCGGTGGATTTAGTTATAGGTACACGTCGGTGTTTTGTTTCCGTCACCCTCTCGCCCACCTTTTGTATGTCCCCGCGTGTTCTTCCCCTCGCTTTTTCCACAGAGCCCAGCTGGTTGACATCTCGTACTACATAGTAGCTCTTTTTTGTGTCCGACCTCGCCACGATGTTTTTTTCTCTTATTTTTTTTTGTTTTTTTCGTTCTCCTCGCTTGGACGTGATCGCTCTTTTGCTCGCTCCGTCAGAGCTCAGTTGGCCGCTATCTTCTAGAAGCTCTTTTTTGTGTTCGACTTCTGTCACTATCGTTGGTTGTCATTGTTTTTTTGTTTTCGTTTTTTTTCTCCTCGCTTGGACGTGATCGCTCTCTCGCTCCGTCAGAGCTCAGCTGGCTGATGTCTTCGAGAACCTGGATCACACCGCGGACGGCTTTATCCGAGAGGAGGACATCCGGAGAGCCCTCGACAAGCTCGATATCGTAGCCTCGGACGCGCAGATCACGTAGGTCACCCCACCCCCCCTCCTCTACGCTTTTTTATGACCGCATGAGGTAGTTCCTAACGCGTATCAGCTGCTGTGTAGCATCGGCTGATGAGGGATCCCGCTTTCCTCTCGTTGTTTTTTGGGCGTTGTCTGGCTTCACCCAGGGTTTCGTCTGCCCCCTTTTTTGTGTCTTGCGTTCCCGGCAAAGTGTTAGGACACAGGCCAGCCACGCGAGTCGTGTCTGCCTGTGTGTGTGTGTGTGTTTTTTTTTTCTTGTTCTTGGTTATTTGCCAGCCCTCGTCTGGTCCGCGTATCACGCCGAGCCCTTGCTGTACGTTGTCTTCTTTCGTTGGGCCGGCCTGATTTGATAGTCTCTGCGGTTGCTTGTCTAGAGAATCAAGCGGCATTGCATAATGTTAGAATGGGACGACACCCAAGCAAAAGAGGAAGGACGATCACAGGGCGTATGTAGCATACGGGCACGCGACCAGCACGCCGAACAGGCACCAAAACCCTCACCTTCATCGTAAATACGAGACCTACACTTCACATGCATATGCACATATCTATCTACATTACGAAGTGTTAATGATATATTGAGAGGTTATACTTCCTTTGTCACATAAGTAAAGTCCGTTATGATTACACGGCCATTTAGCCGTGTCCGATGTCTTGGGCGATACTTTTTTTTGAAATCTTGAGCGTTTTTCGGGTTGAAACCCATATTTCTTTTTTTTTCTTGCGCACTACCCTGCATGCACTAGCGGCTTACGAAAAAGTAGTCAGGCCAAAAAAGCCGTATTTTGCCCCTTTCCATGAGGGTGGGGGTGGGGGCACGAAACGAAACATACCAAAAAAAGACAAGAATTATCCCGAACCCTAAACCCAAGGTTACCTCTACTGAACGATCCATTTCGCGTCCTCCCATACAAAAACCAACACAGTTAGGGTTCGGCCTGACCCTCTTTTTGGGCGATTTTTCTGTCTCACGGGTCAACATTTGAACAGACCTTCCGTCCTTCCTACAACATTTTAAACCAATAAAACCCCACCAATTTTGACAACTGAGTCAACTTTCAGGCAAACAGGCCGCCAACATCTGCCTTGTGTGTGTGTTGTTCTTGGTTTTTTTGTGTGTGTGTGTGTCTGGCATGCGAGTGTGCTCGGTGCAGCAGCAGCGCGCAAAAGTGTGCGTGGTGCGCTGCTCTGCCCAACTAGCCGGGGACTACGTCTCCGCGGACCGTGGTCACGAAAATGGCCGACGACGCCGGTGAGGCTCATGCCGGTGAGGCTCATGCCCAACACACGGCTTCACCTGAGCCGATGAGACGGAGTCGTGAATTTTGTTTTTTCGAGACCGCGACTTGACATTGAACGGGAATTGCATGCAATCCCACCCTTCCCCTACTTTTATGGGGTTCAAGTGGCATTGCGTCGCGAGTGAGGTTGTCACAGCTACTTTTGGCGCTGGAGCCATTGCAAAAGCTCCTTCCGCCGCCGCGGTAGGGGATGTGCGCGTCGCACAAAGAGCGTTGCTGCTCAACCTAAAATCGACGCCCCCTCACAAAATATTCAACCGGTAGGGTGCGTGTGTGTATATTTTTTTTCAGTTGAGACCAAAAAGAAATCGCACCCAACCCCCGCCTTCCCCAACTATTGTGGGATTCAAGTGGCATTGCGTCGCGAGTGAGGTTGCCACAGCTACTTTTGGCGCTGGAACCATTGCAAAAGCTGCTCTAGCCGCCGCGGTAGGGGATGTGCGCGTCGCACAAAGAGCGTTGCTGCTCAACCTAAAATCGATGCACCCCCCAAAAAATTCAACCGGTAGGGTGCGTGTGTGTATTTTTTTTCAGTTGTAATTTGATCGTGCTTTACCCATCCCGATACCCGATCTTGTAACACGTGTTGTGCGGCGGCGGAGTGGTGGATTGTTGTGCGGTTTTTTGCGTGGCCTTCGCAGAGAGGAGAGCTATGTTTTGTCGGGTGCCGATTTTGGCAATCGTCACACACGCACGAGGCCGCCCGTTGAATATACCGAAAATCACTTGTTTTTAGAGTGTTTGATGGGTTTTCAGGGTCCGTTCGAAAAACTGACTCACCAAAACCTTCGTATGGTCTGTTGACAGGTCTCCACCAAAGAGGAAGACGTCATTCCTTTGTGGAAGCGAGTATTCCGTGATAAGCGCCCACTCTCTAATATCAAGTTAATTCACGTTCTGGCGTCGTCAGCCGGTAATGCGGATCAACATTATTCAGAAAAAACACACACACAAAAAACGAAAAATCGTTCCACGCGCATACACGTTTTTGGGGGGTCAGGCCGAACCCTAACAGTAGTGAACCCACACTAAAATCAAGACATTTTCGAGGCCCACACTAAAACCAAGACACTTGGGGGCGCCACACTAAAATCAAGTTACTTGCGGGGCAAAGCCGACAGGCGTAGGGTCCTAACCCTACCCCCCCCTTGTACTCAACGACCCATGTCGCGTCCGCCCAATGTTTTCTGGGGTAATCACTACCAACGCCGTACCGCTCGGCGAGGGGGCCTAGAAAGCCCTTGGGTACCCTTTCTTTGCCCGGCGGAATCGCCAACGCTATCTCCACCGTCATGGCGTACCGACGACCCAACGATACTTCCGCACCCCGCTTACGACGTGGGGGTGTCTGGGCGTCGTCCCCCATGATAGCTACGTCGTTGTGGTGGTATTGGGTGCTCACACAGCGCAAAGCTGCAAATATTCTGTAAAATATTCTCAAAATGTTTTCAAAATATTCCCAAAATATTCGCAAAATAGTCCCGTATTTGACACACTAATTCTCAGTAATTGTGAGTCGGATTTTTTTTTTTTTAAGTTTTGTGCGTAACAAGCGCTTTCCAACAAACCTAACTAGAGCTTCAGGAACACCTTGGCTGGTGAGGTATGTAAATTCCCCCATAACGGACTTTACTTGTGTGACAGAGGAAGTACATGGTTTATTTTGGATAGTCTATGTTGAAGATGAAAAATCGCGGTTCGCCACTTGCCCTGCTTGCTTCTGTTTTGCTGTTGAACCTACGCCGAGGCAGTAGTGGCGTACTGTATACACCGTTTACGTGCCCTCCGTTGTTCCTCCTGCTTCTGTGCGCGTCGCTCTCCGGGTGTGCTCGTCTCCGTTGTTTCGTGTTGGTAGGAAGCTCATGTTTCGGGCAGATCTGGACAACGACGGCAAGATCAGCAGGAAGGAGTTCCAGCAGTTCTTACTCCTGTGCTCTCCGGCAAGGTGAAAGAAAGGCCGAGCTGCTCAGCAAATGCGCGTGGCCGTGTTGTGTTTGCTTGTGGTTGTTGTATGTGCGTGTTTTCCCTCCGACCATCCTCACGTCTATTATTTTCCAGCGTTTTTTTTGTTGCGGCGGCGGCGAGGCTTCCGCCGCTGCTGTGCTCGTTTTCCCTAGAGGTTGTTGCCTGGCTATTCCCCCCGCCTCGCGTTCTGTTGTGGTGGACACTGTGGATTGACCCGGTTCTCACCGCCCCCAATCCTCTCCCGCGTGCATACTTGTTGTCGCTGGGCTTCTGTGCAACGAAGCGTGGCGGAAGTGTTCGACTACTGGGCGCACGCGTCGGCCATCGACATCGGAGAGGATATGAGTGCGCCGGATAACTTCGAGTCTCAGGCTCAGGTGATGGCTGGTTGGTGGTGATGGTGGTTATTTGACGCTGGCTCCTTCTGCTGTGACGCTGCCATCTATGTCCGCGTGAAGAATTTCGAACCTGCCTGTTGTGGCGACACAACAGAATTAACATGTCGTGGCGGTTCTTTGTACTCCAGTATTCAATGCTTGGTCTAACTAATCCAGTGGTGGCGGAGGAACTTGGGGGCGCCGTGTGAGGTGTAAGGATGTATATCCGCTTGACAACCACGTCGCCATCAGACACGCTCGAGAGGGAATTCCACGTCGATCCCGTCAAACCGCCTTCCCACAAAAATTTTGCGGTATTTCCGTATCATCAGTGGACCTCGCCCACGGTGTCTGCGCCTACCCTCTATGTTGCGCATGTAGACTTGCCTTCATGATGAGGAGCTTCCACCCGGGGCCAAACACCCTCACACAGTACCACACCCGGTGGTCAATATTTTGACGGGTCAACACGAGCCCAACATAAGAACCACTCTCAGAAATAGGGCAACACTATACACCACGCCACACGCAACAGCACACCCGTTGGTGATTTTGTAGAACCCAAACGCTGCCACTCAGGCGTGCTTTGTGTTGTGTTGTGTCGTGCTGCATTGTACTAAGTACCAGCTACAAGGCACTCAACCGCATCGATTGAAACAACCACGGCAATACGCCATGCAAAATCCGATGGTTTTGGTTGGTTCAGCTGCGGCAAGAAACGTCAATATTGGGGCGAGGCTCAATTTCGTTCATATTTCGTAATCACCGCCGAGCGTGCAGAGCATAGTGTACGATCCACGGCTGAGGTGTTTTCCGTAATCGATTTTTCTTTTCTTGTTTTGTCGAGAAAGGCCCAGTCTCACTTTCTCCACCTCGTTTTGTATTTTTCTTGCTTGGGGGCGGCCGCAAATGCTGCGCTGGCAGGCGGTGGTGACGTTCGTGGCGGGGGCTATCGCCGGGGTCGTGAGCCGGACAGCCACGGCGCCGTTCGACAGGCTCAAGACCCTTCTGCAGTCGGGCAAGACAAAGGGCACGATTGCCAAGAGCATGAGCAACATCTACCGGCAGGAGGGGTGGCTGGCGTTCTGGAACGGCAACGGGGCCAACACTCTCAAGATCATGCCCGAGAGCGCGATCCGGTTCCTGGGGTATGAGGTCTTCAAGAATAGAGTCTGCAAGGTGAGCAGGCGATTTTTTTTTTTAGATGGAGCTGTATCGTTTCAAGCATCGACCTCGTAGACGACCTGATCGAAATCTCGAAGCTCTCGACGATTTCAATTCGACATGACTCTCGTTTCATCGGAATATCGAAGCGATATTCGTTATGATTTTCAATCGGATAGGACCTTGGATTTCATCGGAATGTCGACGCAGTTTTTTCGATGTACGCTTTTCAGTTCGATTTTGCATAGCATGTCGAAGCAGCTTCGGTACGATTTTCCATTCCATTGTGACTTCTCGAATTCGTCGAAAATTTTGATTCGATGTGCAACACTGCTTAAGACACGCTGCTGCTGTTGGTGTATGTATTCCCCCGGCTTTGGACTCTTGTTCTTGCTGGCGCCTTTGTCTGGTGTGTGAGTGTGTCATGTATGTTCTTCTCGCCTTGTGCATGGCCTCATGTGCGTCCCTCTGTTGCATTTTCACGTGTCCCTCCATTCAAAATCACTTTTCGTACAAGCAAAGGATTGACCCCTTCATTTTACGCCCACACACGCCCCCTTCTTCTGCTTGCTATCTTCCAGGACCCTGATAACGTCAGAGTCGGAGAAAGGTGAGTTCTAGCGGGTACGCTACGGCAGCAATAGTTTGTTTACAGATCTCGCACATCCAGGGGATCCGATAAGGAGGCCGTACGGTCATCGGTAGCCTAGCAAGTTCGCGAAACAGCGTCCAAGTTTTAAACGCATGTTTTTGCTATTCAGGAGCAAACCCATGGGTTGGTCCTATGCATGCCTGGTCGACGGTCAACAACCGTAAGGAAAAAGAAAGGACAGCGAAACCTTCCCGCCCCCGCCCTCCCCCTACTAGGGTTTGTTGTGTATGGAGGCGGGTGTTGAGGGGGGATCGAGACGGGAAAACTCAGCTTCGCGCGCGTGGGGAGGGGATGACTACGTTGTTGGGCGGTGAACACCACGGAGGCCCCCATCATGCCTCCAATGTGTTGCCCCCCCAGCCACCCACTCGGTGTTTGCCATCGGGATTAGGTTTTCGTCGCTTGGCAACGACGTTGTGAAACAAGCCAATTCACTTCGTGAAGTCGGCAACCAGGTTACCCTTTTTTTTTTTTCCCTGTTTTTTTTTGCGGTAACCATGATGGTGGTCGAGTAGATCATGTTGTG